GGGGAGCAAAGCCAAAGCAGCAGCGGGGTGCCGCGCTTCTGAGGCTTTGCTCTGGCAGCTTTTCTCGCCCTGGAGTACAGGGGTGGCGGGACCGCGAGGTCCCGCAGTCTGTGTCCTCCGGGGCGAGAAAAGCCCCATTCGTACCTGCAAGCCGGGGACTGCCTGTATACCCGGCGTATAAGATGACCCCCGATTTTTGGGGGATGTTTTTTAGCATAAAAAGTCGTCTTATACGCTGGAATATACGGTAGTCTAGGGTAGGGAGCCTTTTTTGGATTGGGGGGCACTGACCCACAGAAATATCAGTTCCGGGCTGCACAAAAGTAAGTAGCAAATAAACAAAACAAAACCCTCACCTCACTGACGTGGCCCTTGACTAAGAAGCAGAAAGACACGCCCACGTTCCCTTCACACACCATAGCCTAGGGGGGCCTGGGCTAGTAGATTTTGTGTCCTCCCTTAGGCTTTGGGATAAGGTCAAAAATGAGGGATTCAGCACCGGCTCCCTGGTGCTGGGGCGGAGCCCTGAGCCTTGGGAGCCAGATCCAGGCGAGCTGGGGGCTGGATCCAGCCCTGGGCCTTAGGTTCCTCATCCGTGATCTAGTCCTTGGCAGTGAGCACTTTCCTTATCTTGCTCATATGTTCTCCATCACAGGCTAACCAACCACCTGATGCTAGTGCACTCCGCTCAGATTGATGACACTCAGTAGGTGAGGGGACTATAAGGGAGCTTCTTCATTGCAACTTCTCTAACCCAGCCCAGTAAATCCCTTTTTTAAAATGAAAAGAAAGAAAAGTCCAAGTCTTACAGGAGACATTTGAATCTATCACTTTCATTCGGGCTAACTTAATTTTGGACCTTCCTGCTTGCACTTTCTCTCTGTGTATATAACAGAGTTAGGCAATAATTTTTGTGGCAGGGGAGGGGGCACTTCACCGATTTTGGTAGGTGTGTCGGGCCAGCATTGGAAGGGGCAGGGCCCTGGGCACCAGGGCCTCGGGCACAAGGAGCAGTTCCCTTTAGGCACTGGTGCCCCCTATGGGGTGAAGGGAGCATGCGAGGTCTCTTGGGAGCGTGGTGCCTAGAGGGAACTGGCAGTTTCTTCCGGTGCCACATGCCCCTGGAAGAGGGGAGGAGACTTTGCACGCTCCTCTACCCCCAGCTCCCAAATGGCCTGGGGACATGGGAGCCTGCGAAATCTCCTGCCCCCATGTGAAACGTCAAGAGGAACCGCCAGCCAGTTTTAAACAGCTGGTGGTTCCCTCTGGTGCCGTGTGCCCCTAGCGGGGGGAAGGAGACTTCACTCGCTCTCCTGCCCCTGAGGGTGGGGGTGGGACAGGGAGGGCCATGTGCTGGATCAAACAGCTTGGTGGGCTAGATCCAGCCCGTGGGCCGTATCTTGCCCACCCTGGTATATAATAGATATATAAACAATCAAAATAGCCTGAAAACTTCTAAGATTAAACAACAGCATGGAGTTAAAAATTGGGACAGCCTGATACAGCTCTGGCTTGCAAAACACCCAGAAAAGAAGTTGGAGCAGACACAAACCAGAGTGCACTCTTAGAAAGATGGTCCAGGTTACCCTAGAACAGGACTACTCAACTTTGGAAGCCCCAGGAGCCACGGATACTCACAGCACATGCTGAGGGCTGCATCTTAAGTGTGGTTGCATATATATGCAAATAGCTTCTTTCACACTGACAGACATGAATACAAAGATTAAGGCAAGACTACACAACACACAGGCCTCATTTAACTAAGTACTGCTGATAGTAATAAAACACAATATTTACCCGATTAGCAGCTGGGTCTGCTAATGATGAGCCTCAGTTGGGTGAAACCTGAACCTTTAGTAGCACACCTGTCTGGGAAGTACCTGATCTGCTTTGAGAAGCCTCTTTTGCCTTAGCCACATGGGATCGGTACTAGCTGCAACCATGTTAAAATACAAATGTTGCTAATAGCTCTGTAGCATGAACTATGCTAACTCACCTATTGTATAAACTGCATGCCCCTCCACTCATGTAGTTAGGGTTGCCAGGTGCCCAGTATTTTCACCTCCTGTCCGGTAAA